GTGCTGTAAACAGTTCTGACTAAGCAGTCCTTGTCCTCTTCTCTTGCAGTGCTAACTCCACAGGCTATTCTGATGACCTCGGCCCATTGTCTCAATACCTTTCTCAAGTCATATTCAGGAAGGAAATTCTCTGCCAGGCTCCTTGAGAAGATAGGGGTCCTTGGCCTCTTCACAGAAGGTAGCCTCCTCTTCCCCCCATGGTCAGGAAGTGAGGTAGCTGCCTCCTGTGGCTCTTGCAGACCATTGCTCCTCTACCACCCGTAAAACTCCACCTGCCTACTCCACCTGCCTACTCCACCTGCCTGCTCCCCTGAGGCTCCCACCGTGGTCATCTCATGGCTGTCATCTAGAGATTGTTTCCACTCGGCGTCCTGCCCATCTAAGTCCTAGAGAGGGCTGCATATGAACCTTGGCTCTGACTCCAGTTTTCAGAAACTTTCTTTTCAACTTCAGTCACCACTTCCATGGCCACCACCTAGAATGGCTCCACCTCTATAAGCTGAAATTCAGGCTCAGTGCGACCCCAACTGGCACTCCCATACCCTCACCTCCCCTTTATACCTGCTCTCCCAGAGTAGATCAGGCTCTGTCCACCTGCCTGCCTCCCGCTTCAATCCCTTCCTTCTCTGTCTTAGACTCCAAGATCTACCACCTCAACCATCATCTCCAGTGTCCTCTATTTTTTTTGTCTCAGATTCATGGTCCTTTTTGTTTGTCAACCTGGAAACTCTAGCCCTGAATCAATGCAACCACTGACTCTCTCTGAGTTTCACAGGTGCCCTGCAGAGGCAGTCAGAGAAAATCGCATAGCTGCACAGGTTTGTGCTTCCACAAGTTCATCATCTCTATTGTGCCTCAGTGCTGTCTGGCAATCTCATTGTATTTTTCTATTTGCTTTGTTTTCATCCCATTCCATCAGTTACCACTTCTTCCAAATTTTCAACCTCTTCCTATAGGATCCTTCCCAGGAGCATTTATACCTGATCAAATCTCTCCCATCCAAAAAGGTCCTCCTCGAACCCACTGTCCCTTTCTCCCTTTCCCATCACATCTAATCTTCTTAGATGGGTCTTACTTGCTTTCCTTTCTCAACTCCCACTCATTTCTTAGCCCATAGCAATCGGGCTTTACTAGTCATCATTTCTTCAGCAAGACCAAGGCCACCTTTCATTATTTTCTTGCTTGGCCTTGGAGCACCATGTGACACTGCTGACCACTTCCCCTTTCTTGAAACAACCTCTTTCCTTGACTTCAAGGACACACACCCTTCTGATTCTCTTTCTACATCTCTGGCCAGTCCTGTTTCCTTTGTGTGAGAAAGAAGGCCTCCTCACCTGTTGGCATCATTCCTGACTCTGTTGTGTGGCCTGTTTTCTCTCATGTGATCTTTACCCCTGCACATGCTCACCCAGGCCCTTGGCTTCAGTTCCCATCCATACCTTCAGCCCAGACCTCTCCTCTGGGCTCCAGATCCGTTTGTGTAATGGCCTCTTACAAGCACCTCACATTCCACACACTTTTCTCCAACCCCCATCCCCCGTTCTTCCCACGCAGTGAATGACACCACCATCCTAACAATGGCTAAAGCCGGAAACATGGGTATCACTCTTGACTCCTTCCTCTACCCCCACCCCCACATCCAATCAGTTCAAAAGTCTTGCTCTTTCTCTTTCATAAATATCTCTCAAATATATCTACTTCTTACCATGTCCACTGACACAACTCCAGATTGTTTTTTGCCTTAGCTATGGCCCCTTGAACAAACCCGATCCCGTCTGATCTCAGAAGCTAAGCAAGTTGGCTAAAGAAGTTGGGCCTGATTAGTACTTGATGGGAGACCACCTAGAAAGACCAGGTGTTGTAGGCGTAAAAAATTAAAAAATAAGAGATTGTAAGCTGACAAGGTCTTTGTAATTTGTGAGGTCAACCTTGTCTAAAAAATAATAATAATAAGTTAAACTACGGCTCCTGCCTCCAATTTTGCCTTACGAGAATTCATTATCCATGACACTGCCAGAGTGGTTTTCTAAAATGTAAGTCTGGCAGTGTCTGCTTAAGACTTTTCAATGATTTCCATTGGCCTTAGGATAAAGCTCGAACTCCCTAACCTGGCAAATAAGCTACTTTATGACCTGGCCACCCTTACTTCTTCAGCCTTCTCTCTCACAGGTGCCCTCCTTACACTGGCACGCTATACTCAGGCACTGTCATAGGCTTTCTACTTATGGTTATCTTCCCATGTTGACTCTTGGATATCAGCCTGAACCTACCTATGTTCAATGTTCATCTCTTTCCAGCCCGGACTGAACCCAGCATCTTGATGAAGAAGCAACAATGGTGATAATGGAAGAGAGGCAAAGTGATGAATGTGAAGATGATGCTGCTGTCAGCATTTGGTAAAGAGACAGACAAGTTTAGTTATGGGACCATAGAAGAGGAGCTCCGGTCATTTGGTGGCCCAAACTTTCTTTTTTTTTTTTTGGTGACTCTCTCATGATCAGCTGGTGGCACTGCTTTGACCTTCTCAGAGGCTTAGCTCTGTAGCGCTAATCACCCACTCACTCTACGTGTACGCTTGGGACTGGTGGCCTGACCTCTATTACATATACTTGGTTTATCAGGCTCGGGCTCTGACACTCCTGATACGGACAACATCTCTCCCCAATATCAGCATTTATTTGCATCTATAAATGTGCATGGAGGCTATTCACCTAAACTGGAAAGGTAATTAGAGGCTAGCAAGAACGGAGCTGAGCAATCTGGAAGATAGTGAAAAGGCATCAGCCCCAGTGGCAGTCTGAGTAATTGCCCCAAAGATAATCAAGTCTTAATCCCTGGAACCTGTGAATGCTACCTCACATGACAAAAAAGACTGCAGATATAATTAAAGATCTTGAAAATGGGGAGATTATTTTGGATTATCTGGCTAAGCCCAAAAGGCAATCATTAGGGTCCTTATAAGAGGGAGGCAGAGGGAGATTTAACACAGGACAAAAAGGCAACATGACCACTGAAGCATGATGCTATATTGTTGGCTTTGAGGATGGGTAAAGAGACCACGAGCCAAGAAGCACAAAGAATGCAAAACTAGAAGCTAAAAAAGGCAAGGAAACTGATTCTCTTCTAGAGCCTCAGGAGGGAACACAGCCTACCAATATCTTGACTTCAGCCCAGTGAGACTGATTTCAGACTTCTGGCCTCTAGAACCGTGTGAGAATAAATAAATAGTTTTAAGCCAACAAGTTTGTGATAATTTGTTATAGCAGCAAAAGGAAACTAATACAGTCCCTTTGTGCCCTCCCTCTCTGTCCTCTCTGTCTTCCTCTTGAGTTGGGTTAATCCCCGTGGTGTTAACAGGTATGCTGGACACTGGGCATAGGAGAAGTCACCTCTACTTGAGGATCAGGGCTCTCTGATTCCAGGGAGTTCTGGCTTTGGGAACATTGGAAAAGACATCTTTTTGGAGTAGTAGTCACACATGGGTCACTGTCAGAATGGCTTTGCTGGTAGCATGCACCGAAGTAGACAGAAGAGGAATTCCAGAGAAGCCATATGGGGATTGTGGCTGACAGGGTGTTGCTTCACCATATGTAGGCTGCCTTTTTGGAACTCCCAGAAATACTTGTGGCAGAGGAGGAAGAGGGCAGAGGTCCTGGAGGTGCAAGAAGAGAAACAGCAGGAACTTTGGGTGATGGATGTTAATGGAACTTTATTTATAGGTCCAGACTGGGAGGGTCTGATAACATTTGTGTTACGTTGCTCTTCTAGCTGACTACTCCCTTCTGCCTCAACACGAGGTGGTTGATTAAGCAAATAATGATTTCCAAACGCTTTTCATCCCTTTTCCCCACTTTCATTCAGTTTTTATCTTTTCTTACAGAGTCAAAGGAGTGCTTTCTGTGTTGGGGAGAATATTCCCTTTTCTATCATTTGTTGCTATGAATACTCATTCTCCGCTCCCTCTGTTTGTTATTAACTTTTGGAGTGTTTGCTGTGCAGAAATTTTCATTTTTATTCAGTGAAGCATATCAACCTTTCTTTTTATGATCTCTGACCTAGATATAGGTCATCTTCCCCTCCAAGAGGAAGGTCTGTCTCTATTTAAATCTCTTGCATCTGAAGAGAATTCTGCCATGGTTTCAGCTGTGGCACAGCCTTTTCTCTCATTTCTGTTTCTTTTGTTCAATTCTGTCAAGTTTGGAGAAGGCATTTTGGAAACCTGCATTTAAACCACCATGATTCCCAGTCTTTAGATTTTCATTGAATTGAGGGTGAAGGCAGGATGATGAGCTGAAGCTGTGGGCGTTGGTGAAATTTAGAAGGAGAGTAAATGCTAAATGAGAAGAACAGAACCTTGCAAAGCTCGAACATTTCTGAGCAAAACGAATGTGGTGGATGTGGATGAGAGAGCACATGGAAAGGAGAGGTGAAACCAGCAGAGAGGTGCCAAGGAAGCCAGAGGAGGAGAAAAGTCCAAGAATGGCAGAGTCAGTGGAGGCCAGTGTTGCTGGGGGTTTGTGGAGAATGACTGTGATGGAGCCATAGGTTGTATTGGTTGTGATGAGTTAGTGGTAAAGTGACTATATCATGTAACGTTTAAATTAGAGAAGGCTTTGGGACAAGGGGGATAAACCAGGGTTTTATTTGGCAAACTGGGACACATGGTGACCCCGATTAGTGGTGACCTCTGAGAAAGTAGTCACAGTGGATGACGGCCAAGGTGCCCATGCTCTGTGGATTGAGGAGTCAAGATAGTGAGAGTAGAATGTTCCTTTTAGAGGTTTGGCTAGAAAGGTAAGAAGAGAGTTGGGTCATAGCTGGAGGGAAATTAAGATTGGAAGAGAGTTCATTTGTTTGTTTTCTAGTCTTGAGAGATTTGTCTATCAGAAGAGGAAAAGAACTTAGTAAAAAGGGAAAGATTGAAGATGCAGAAGACAAACAGAGGAGATAATAAAGATAGGAGATATAAGAGGGGGAAGGAAGCACGACCAACAGCTTACGGAAGACAGGAGGTTAGCCTGGAAGAGAAGGAAGGACAGTTCCTGATATGAGATGTCAATGAAAGAATGCATGACAAGCTCGTGAGAAGTTGAGGTACAGAAAAGGAACCCGAGAGATTCCTTTAACTTCTCATTTAACTTCTCAAGAGTGGTTGCTGAGAAGGAGGTGGACATCTGTAAGGGACAAAAAGCCTTAAAAAAGAAACATTTGACACCCTCCCCTCCTTTGGGGGATCAATGTGGTTATACTCTGATGGACTGAGATGGTTCTGAATGAGTTCAATTGGTGGTAGAATACTAGATTGATTTTCCAAGCTCAGTGCCAGGTCCTAAGCTGGCAGGGTTCTGGCTGCTGTGTGTCTGGGGCTGGAAGCCTCTACCATTCTAGGCACTTTGGCATTAGGGTCTTCCCCTCCATTGGAGAACTACCTTAGAAATCCCTTTGAAATCTGGACCAGTGAGAACATCATTGCTTTGGTGGACAAACCTGTAGGGCCAGGTTCTAGAGGGACACCTTGGGGTGGCAAGAGAAGCCACAGCTAATTAAAGTCTCCAGTGCTCTTGACACCTGGTTTTGGATGAACCAGCCCTTTTGAGGAAGTCCTTGATGTTCATGGACAATCCAGGGTGGAGGAGAACCCAAGGAGAGAAATACTATATCCCTTGTTACTTTAGATGGGCTTCAGTGGTTAATATGAATATTTATCTTATTTATATCCCAACTTGATAAAGCAGGTTTATATCATAGAATGGTATGTGGCCATTCAAAATGGCATTAGGAAATAAAATAAATAAATCTGGTGACGTAAAAAAAATTCAGGATTTATTAATTGAAAAACTAGTATAATCACAACAATCTGATTTTTGAAAAGAATATGTAATATGTCTATGTATGGACAAACATAAGACCATAAAAATGTATATCAGCTAGCAGTGGCTGTTTCTGGGTGGTGGAATTTGAAATTAAGGGTGATTTTTCTTTTTACTTACTTTTGTTTTCTAAAATTTCTATGTTGTGTTTGTATTGCTTTTTTTTAGTAAGCTATTTTTAAAAAGGATTGCCAAGCAGCCATGGGACCCCACCTGAGCCTGAAGGAGGAATCTGTCAAGAGGCCAGTGCATGAGGCTGGCTGTCCTCTCTCCAGCTGCACTCAGCAGCTTCCTTTTATGAAGGGAAAACAACCTGGTCAGATTTAACAATGCACCTAGCCTAGTGCTACTCTGAGGTCGCTCATGGGATACATCCAGGCAGAGTGCCCTACATTCTCCATTTGGGGCTCCACAGATAGCCCACCATCCTTGAGCTGGTGCCTTCAATGCAGATGACATAAATGGAACTTCTCCCTTCTCTTGACCCTGTGAACAACTGCCTGGAGCCTATATTGACCTAAGACCAAAGGGAGAGAAGAGAGTTTAGGAAGGCTGAAATATTCAAGGGATTCTTGGAAGAAATGGATTATTGTTTGCTGTAGCTGTGATTCTGGTTATATGAATGCCATGTTTACCACGCTACATGAAGCTGTGGTTGAACCAACAGATGGTGGGCAGAGGAGTGAGGACACTGCTACAGTCAGATGGTTTCCACAGCTATGTTGGGGGAAGGCACATTGCCAGACCAGAACCTAGCATTCAGGGGGAAGGTCCTTTCAGTGCTAGCCAGAGTCCTTGCTGAGTCCTGTACAGCATCCAACCTTGAGTTGGATGGTGAGCACACACATCTTAGCCTGGGATGTTGGTCCACCTTCCATTCATCAGTTAGTCTGACTCAGAAGAAGCCCTTGGGGGCAGTTGGGATCTTGCTCCAGGTCAGCCCCATTAGAGAGGATCCCTATGATGCTTCCTACCTACATTGGGCTGGTGTGTGTCAGGCTGTAGTTGGTGAGTGGGTCTCCACTGGGCCATGTGGAAAGGTTACATTGGGCTGGTGTGTGTCAGGCTGTAGTTGGTGGATATGAGTGGGTCTCCACTGGGCCATGTGGAAAGGAATGGGGGCTAACTGGCCCTCTGCTCTTTCCAGACCCCTGAGCTTTTGATCCCTGAATCAGGTGTCACCACCTGTCCCATTGGGCAGCCAGACTTCTCTGCTCTGTGCAGCAGGGCCATGTCTTCCAAGAGCAGCCCCTTTGCTAAACAGCAGGAGGAGTGAAGTGGGGCAGGTGAGGAGGGAGGAACCTCCCCTGACCCACCTCCATGCCCATGTGAAGATCCCATGCCGTTTCTGGTACCTACTAGCTCTCTCTGAGCTTCCCACAAAAACAGTGACGAGAAAACACAATTTGTCTCTGACTCATGATAGGCATTCCATAAATATTTGTTGAATGAAAAAATAAACGAGGGAGTGAATTAATCAGTTAACCTAATTTGTGGGGCACAGAGGCCTTATATGGGTGAAGGAAGGGATAGACTCTTTTTAAACTAGGGACATGCAGATAAAAATATCTATGGTGCCATGAGTATAAAAGAAAGGCTAAGATGCCAAGTTTTGTGACTGTGATTCAAAATTTTTAAATATTAATCATGATACTTTAAAAAGTCTGTCCTTGGCACTGGAACCACAGATTATAAAGTCCAAGTTTCAAATAAGAAAACTGAGTTTCAGAAAGAAAGAGGAGTGTCCAAATTACACCACGCTGGTAGAATTAAAGTGGGATTCAGATGTCTTGGCTTCCAACCCCGCAGGGTTCTTCCTACCCCTCCATGCCAGTGTGGTTGGGGACCTGGTCTGGGGTGGGTTGGGGCAGTTTTTCTTATAAATAAATATTAGTTGGGCACCTACTAGATGCCACATACCTACTATGTGGCAAGCAAGTTGCTAGGTGCTTGTGATATAATTACTAAGTAGATAGTACTTTGACAAGACAGGAGACAGGTTATTAGAATAAGGAAAGAGCACCCAGCTTTGGTAACCCAGATTGGGGTGAAGAGTCTGATAGAAGAGCTTATGATCCAGAGCAGACACTCCATATATTCCTCTTAGAGCCTTTCCAGGGGCATTCCCCCAGCATTCCCACACCACTCTGTCTCCTGCCTGCCTGCAAGCACTCACGCAGGCACCCAGCCCAGGCACCCAGATAAGAGTCACACCTCAGAGGCTAAGGGGACAGATAAGCAGGACAGGCTACTCAGACAGAGGGGGCCTCAGGCAGTGATATCAGATTCCAAGGGAGGCCCTGAGAAGGAAAAGAATTGCCTTTCTAGGGGATGTGGGGGGATGGTGTGGACCCTGTGGCAGAGGCCTGAGCTCCAGGACCCTCCAAGAAAGCCCTTGCACCCAGGCAGTCAAACTAAATTCTGCTCCCCGGCCCAAAATCTGTCTTGTTTTGAGGCCAAAGCTTCCTCATCTCTGCTCTGCTTCCACCTCCCTCCTCCCATTGGCTGGCTCTCCTTCTCACTAACAACTCATCCCTGTGCCTCATCAGCCTACCTGCACCATTTCTTCCTCTTTCACTTGGATAGCTCCTGAAATTCAATCTCTTCTGTAGAAAATTGGAGGCAGAGGCAGAAATGGAGATGGAGGAATATCTATGCTTGATCTCTCTTCCTCCTCTCCCTAGTACTAGTGGTGGGGCTAACCTAGACAGGGGCCTCTGTACCAGTCAAGGGTGCTGCAGGACAGGGAAGGCATAGTCACACTAGGTCATAGGGAGAGCTTAATAAAGAGTATCTATAAAAGGAAACCAACAAGAGACCATACAGCACTCCCCTGAGAAACAATAGAAAGTGGCTTCTACCTTTGGCCTTAAAGGGGCAAGTAAAAGGAGCAGTTACTGGAACCTGGAGTGAGCAGCTTTCTAGAGAGGGCAACCTGACAGAAGCTGTGGCCCTTCACAGAGGGACAGAGCCCACCTTCAGTAGCCAGGCAGCCAGAGGACCACAGAACAAATACTCTGACCTCTCTCTGTCTGCCTCTGGTCTATTGTGGTGCCCTCAACGGCCAAATTCAACCAGAGGACAGAGGGCAAGGAAACCTGTTGATATTATTGGTAAAGTTCAGATTCCGGGCACAGAGTAGGATGGAGAAGCGTGAAGAGTGGGTCTGGAGGGGCAAATTGAAGATATCCAGCTCATCCGACTATAAGTGGGACACTGCGCTGAAGTAATAACCATAACAACCCCAGGAGGCAGGCATTATTATTATCCCCATTTAGAGAGAAGAAACCTGAAGTTCAGAGAGAACCAAAGCATCCTTTGTTCTCAATCTATTACACCAGTGCTGTCTGATAAAACTTTCCGTAGTGATGAGAACATTCTATATAGGCACTGGCCAAGGCAGTAGCCACTAACACACATGGCTATTGAGCATGTGAAATATGATGAGTGTGATTGACTGAGGAACTGATTTTTAAATTTTCTTTAACTTTAATTCAACTAAATTTAAATAGTTACATGTGCCTACCCTATTGGACCACAGAGGTCTAGATCTTACTTTGTGAGTCTTTAGCTGTTGGATCTGGGAATGAAGAATTGCTGCCTGTCTCACTCTGCAGCTCACAAAACTTTGAGGAAGGTGGATTGAATGACAAGGTCATGGGGATGCAGTTGAGATAGACACAGACTGAGAAAAGATGTGGAGGCATTCAGCTGCCCTCCCCATCTCAGACTGAAGAATCTCATTAGATATATCCTTCCACCCTAACCTGGGTAGGAATATGGTTATGGTTAGAGGTAGGAGATCAAGATGCTGGCAGCAGGGTCCTAAGAGAAAGGAGACAAAAGACACTTGGTCACCTTCCCTAGCTAGACATGCTGGTTAAAATAATAGGCTGTGAAAGGTCCACTTCTCTGAGATTTTATTGCTACTGCTACTTGGCCTGGGGCAGGCCCCTGAGTGCTTTTCATGCTTCTTGATCAGGAGTTCTTAACTGGACTACTGCGCTTCTGTGCATTGCTGTGGAGGAGCTCTCCAAATCCCCTGTAATTGTGTGCAAAACATTGCCTATATGCACTGTGGCTTTGTTTCTAGGAGAAGGTCCACAAGCTCCATCAGATGCCAAAAAGCATCTGTAACACTAAAGACCCTCATCCAAGTCTTTGAAGGAAGAAGCACCCCCTGCTCTCCTGTTCTCTCCTCCAAGGCCACCCTTCCACCTCTGGGTTTCTTCCACTCTTGTGGTTCTTGCAGGCAGCTTGTCCCCAGAGCCAGCTGGGGCCATGTGCCTCTCTGCTCACCTGGACACAGTGCTGTGCCTCTATCGACTGCCCTAATTAGGAGTGCTGAGCTGACTGCAAAAAGCAGGTCTGCATCTGCACCTTCCAGAGGTGGCCAGGCTTATAGGAAGAAGCATGAGTCCTGGAGCTAAAAAAGACTTGCTCTCCATTCTGGATCCATGCAACCTTGACAAGTTAATGAACCCCCCTGAGACTCTGTTTTCTCATCTATAAAATGGGGGTAATGATGCTTCCCAACAGGGGTTTTGTGGGGATTAAGTGAGGTAATGGTTATAAAGTGCCAAGCCCTCGATAAATGTTAGCTGTTATCTGCCACAAATGGATCCAAAGATTTTCTCTACAGTGTCCCTGGCAGGAGATCATCCAGTTCTGCCTGGGAAGCTGCCGCCTCCTGAGGCGGCCCAGCCCCCACTTGGACATCTCTGGCTGTGAGAAAGTCTTTACGTCATTTAGGAAATCTTCGAGTTGAAGTGGCAGAAATTCAACTCAAATGGCTCACCAAAAAAGGGAATTTATTGGCTTAAGAAATTAGGAAGGGTAGGAGCGGAGGTGACCTCAAGGGCTCTAGAGATCCAAACAACATCATTAGGACCTTCCTTCTCTTCCTCTGCAACTCTTGGCTCTGTTTCTCCATCCAACTGGGGAGAAAGCAGCCAACAACTCTCAGCATATCTTATCACCAGATATGAACCAGAGAGAGAGCTTTTTTCTCCTACCGACCACACAGATTCTCAGGAAAGGTGGGAGACTGGCCAGCCTTGGGACATGCACCCACCGTGAGCCAATCACTGTGAGCAGAACCATGGGCAATTATGATTGGCCAGGCTTTGTTATGTGACTTGAGGATGGGAGCCATATTGAAACCATATAGAGTGTCTCCAGATGGGAGAATGCTGTTTCTAGAAGCCTACAGAAAACCAGTAGATGTTCACTACCCTTCTTCCTTACATTGGGCCTGATTCTCTGTCTCTCTGACAACCTCCAGTCCAGCATCAGTCCTAGCTCTGTCTCCCTGTTTAGGTTCCCACCCCAACTCCTCCTACTACTCCTGGGAAGAAGGCAGCAATCTGGTGGAAGTTGGAATGGGGGCCAGACTGGAAAAGCATCCATTGGAATGCTGGTGAAAATAATGGGGGCTTTAGTGTCCCTTGGTGCTGGTCAATGACCTGGTATTTCCTTTAACTACACAAAGGGAGGAAGGACAAGGAAGGAGAAGAACTTGGATGGGAAGAGGAGATAAAAAGGAGGAAGAGAAGATGGGAGAGTGGAAGGAAGAAGAAAGGCAGAAGAAGTAGAAGGAAAGATGATGAGAATAATGGGAAGAAAGCTTCAGTTCTGTAGAAGCTCTCAGGCTGGGAAGCACGATCAAATACTTTAAAAGGTACCCAGCTTGTATGGTGCAGACTGTACATGTGGAAGAAACTCTAGGCTGAGGATCATTCCTCTGGCTGTCCAAGACAAGCTTCCTGGAAAAGGAGGCCTTGAAGGAAGAAGAGGATTACAAAGGCTGGCTCTGGGAGCTTGCTGCTAGAAATGCAAAACCACTTCTGACTGCCCATCTAGAGAGTAGGGGCAGGCTGGCAAAGGAAGGGGCTTCTGCTTTCCTCCCCTCTATTCTTCCTTTCCCAACTGGGTTGCTCTGCAGAGGTCACCCCTAGGCTAATGAGGAATCTTCCTGAAGTTAAAACCAATTAAGTAACAAATAGCTTCTGATTAGTTATTTCTCTTGATGTGAATTTTAATGAACAGCCTCCTCACCCTTCACTACCTCCCTAGCACCCTGGGGGTGAAACAGCTTTTGGTCTACTTGTAAGAGCCCTCAGGAGAGTCTGGAAAGGCTAGAGAAGAAGGGGAAGGTGAGTGGGGTAGGGTCCAAGCAGCCAGCCCTGTCAGTAAGCCTGCATTGCCTCTAACATTTCAGAGGTGGGGACAGGGCTACAGGAGAAGGCAGAATGGTGCAGTGGGCAGAACTCAGTTTTATGGGTATGTGTTGAATAATTCTAAACAAGTGAGCCCTCTACTTTTGCTGCTTGTCTTTCCAGGAATGTAGAGATGCTAGCTATTGCTTGGCCTTTCTCTGAGGACTCTTATGTCCCTCTCATGAGATGACACAGGGGTGGTAAATGTAAATTCTGGGCAAACAGTAGGCAGTCAGTAAGTGACAGCCTGAGAAAAGCCAAGGTATAGAGTTTTCTCGGCTCCCTTTCAAACAGTAAGATCATCAGGTGAAGGAAGAGTGGTGGGGATTGTCTCCCAGTCCCAGGCTCCTGGGTACAGGCCGAGGGAGAGAATTTCGGTTCCCTGTCCCCAGCTAAGCTCACACACATCTCTTCAGGCCGACTCTTGGGAGCCTCTGTTTTCTGGGCAAATGCCAAGACTCTGTAAGCCAAAGGGAGACTGGGCGTAGGGTAGTGAGTGCGTGAAGATGGCAGGGCACTGCCTTCTTTGTTGCCCTGAATCCTCAACAGGAGAACCCTAGCACAACTGCTGTTGGATCCTGTTCAGTTACATACCATCCTCATTTCACAGGTAGCAAACTGATGCCAACATTCTCAACTGCATTTCCAGTATGGATAGGAGGACACACTATAGAGTCTTAGGGTTTGGCTCTCTCTATCTTAAAATAGTCATCCTCTAAGATCCTTTCCCGGGACCTAGAAAGCCCATCAGGAGTAGCTCAGTGGGCCACTCAAGAGCTTTGCAGAGCCTGCTCTTCAGCCAGACATTGTTGACCACTTCCTCTAGATGAGAAGAAAGGCTCTTCCTTGAAAGGAGAATAAAGTTCATGATGCTGGCTGGAAGACAGAAAAGGAGGAAGCACCCCTTGGGACCCACTGACAAAAGAAATAAAGATGGATTTTTCTGCAGGTTTCTCATTACTGTCTCCCTGCTTTATCTCCTCTCCCAGAGAACCCCCCTCTCCTCTCCCTTACCTCTTCTGTCCCTCTCTTGTCCATCATTTCTTCTGTTCCCAATCCATGTTGGCTCTGAGGTAAGTCTGGCTGAGGGTTCCAGAGGCTGGCCTTTCAGGGAAAACCCAGAAAGTTTCATAGTGATTCCCTGAAAGGCAAACCTGCTGCCCAGGTCAGAGGAAAGGCATCATTTCTGGCTCAGGCATCTGAGTGATGACAAATTTAGAGCAGCCACCTCTAAGCCCATCCTCTTTGGCTTCTGTTTTGGGTAGCAGGAGCCAGCCTGGCTCTGAAGATTGGCTTCCAACCAGGGCTCTGCAGCCCAGAGCTGGGGCCAGCTGTTCCAGGCCTGAGATTCCTTGGCACTTGGCCCTATGTCATCATCAGGCACCTGGGCCCCTCTGGTTGGCTTCTCTGCCCCAACTCTTTGGAACATGCTGGCTGTGTTCTCCTCACGCAGCAGTGATGGGCAAGGGGATAGATTGATCAGGTCTCTTAGTGGCAAGGAACAGAGCCCAGGTCATACTAACTTGGGCATCAAAAGAGACTTTATTGGTAGATGTGGTGGTATCAGATTGTCCCTTTTGAGGAGCCAGCCAGAGTCAGGTATGGGTTATTAGCAAACATATTCCAACCAAAAGAAGAGTTGAACCATCAACCTAGGGAAAGTGAAGATACCAGTGGCCCTCAGGAATATCCGAACCCATGTCTTGGATGCTGCCAGGAATCTGTCTTCATCCTTACATCTTCATCCCTGTCTCTCCCTTTTCTGACTGTAGATCAGCTTCTTACACTTCCCAAGCTTCACCTCTCCCAAACTTGGCTCCTGAAGAGAAATGGGATCTATCTCAGTACTTGTTCAAAAAATACCAGGGAAGTCTGATTGGCTTAGCCTGAGTTGAAGTCCACCCCTAAAGCACTTAACTATGGCCAGAGGACAGAGTGACAAAACTGCTGCTCCCATGAGAACCCTATGGGTGGAAAGGAGGAAGGAGCAGTTTACTAGAAGAAGATGGTCTCTCCCCAGAAATTAAAAGGGGAAGGATGGAGAGACAAATCAGTAGGCATCTCTTTCATCTGTTCTCTCACCATGAGGACTGTAGAATATTTTTGCAGGTCTTATTACAGAAGCTTAGTGAATATTATTTTCATCAACTCTCATTTTCTAGGGCCACTGGAAAGACAGCTGGATGCACTTCCTTTCCTTGTCCACAGCTCCTGACTTTTCATCCTGACCGGTAGTCTATTCTTACCTGTCAACCCAGATGATGGCCCTGTTGACCCACATCTGCCATCTTGTCCTGGCATCCTCTCATCTTGGTCAGCTTTGGTTAGCAGTTGGAATAGAGCCCAAAGATGAGAGCCCAGGATCTGGGATTAGATATACCTGAGTTTGGATTAAGTGCCACTATTTACTGTCTATTGGATCTTAGACAACTTCTCTGAGCTTCTGTTTTGTTTTGTTTTGTTTTTACCTGTAAAGTGGAGAAGATGATAATACCTAACCAAAAGTATAGTATAGATTAAAAGAGGTGGTAATAAGCTCTCGGCACACAGTAGGCACTCAGTAAGTGACAGCCTGAAAAAAAAGCCAAGGTGTAGAGTCTTCTGGTATAGTATAGATTAAAAGAGGTGGTAATAAGCTCTTGGCACACAGTAGGCACTCAGTAAGTGACAACCTCAGCTCCCTTTCAAACAGCAAAATCATTCTAGCAGAGAAGGTGGAGGAAGGGTGGTGGGGATTGTCTCCCAGTCCCAGGCTCCTGGGTATAGGCTGAGGGAAAGAATTTCGGTCCCCCATGCCCAGCTAAGCCCAAACACATCTCTTCAGGTCAACTCTTGGGAGCCTCCATTTTCTGGGCAAATGCCAAGGCCCTGGTGAAAGCCCTTGGCCCGCCATTGGCCTCAGGGAAATGACCGTTTCCCCAGAGCATGTCCTGAGAACAGAGTGGATCAGGGGAGAGGGACACTGTGTGGGATGCTGGACACAACTGTCCTGAGGAAGCTCCAGCTTCTAAATGGTTTAGGCCACAAGGAAAACCCTGAACACACGGTCCCACAGAGCCATGGTCAACATTGATGTTCAAATCAGCCTTGTGTATCAGCACAGGCTGTCTTTTCTGAGGAGCTGGCTGTGACTGAGTATGGGATATTAGCAAACACATCCCAGCTTCACCTGTTTTGTTTGGGTCAGCATCCCTGAGCTCCTGGCTGGTAGGTGTAATAGTGATAAAAGTAGAGTGCAACAAAGATGTGGGTACACACTTGTAAGCACAGTCTCATACATACATGTACCCCAATATATGCAGGCCCTGTGTGCACAGGGAAACAGATGGCTGGGACCAGAAGCCCTACCTGAAACCTCCCAGATGACTAACGATAGTAATTAAGCCTGCATTTACAGAGCACTTACCACGTGCTGGCATTGGGCTAACCTCTTTGCATTTATTATTTCATTGAATCCTTTCCATGACCCCAGGAAGTGGGCATTAGTATTTCTGTTTCAGAGATGAGGGAATGGAAGCCCCAGAATTAAGTAATTTGCCCAAGGTCATACAGAATGTGACAGAACCAGCATTCAATCCCACATCTGTCTGATTTCAAAGCCCTGTTACCCTGCTGCTCACTTGAGTACAACAACAGATACAGTTTTCCAAAGGAGAGATTTAAAGGTAATGGAAGATTCTCCAGGAAAACTCACTGATTCTTGGAGGGAAGCCTGGAGAGGACCAACCTCAAAATTACCTGGGGAAGTCACTGAAAATACAAGTTCTTGGGTCTTACCCCCTCTCTCCATGCATCCCCTTCCTCCATGTATTAATTCAATGGGGTTGGGAGCCTAGGAATATGCATTTTAACAAGTTGCCTGACTCCAATGAAAATAGCTTCCTTCCCCATTATAAAATAATAATATGGTTTATTATGAGATCTTTGAATTCATGTGTAGCTCAGAACTCTTCATTTGAATACATCTTCAAGGAGAGATCTATTTTCATTAAAGTTTGAAAACACTTGCTCAGCAGTTTGAACACATGGCCTTCCTCAGGTAAGTCCCGGGGATCTGCTCAGAGGACCCTGGAGACTCCACAGTCTGAAGTTTAAGAGAAAGGTGCACCGCACTCCAGCTCACTCAAAGCTCCCAGAGGGTAAAGGGGGCAGTGAGCTGGGAATGCATCAACAGCTTCAGCAAGAGCCCATCCTCCCTCTGCTGCTGTGCTCAGAGCCTGGGAAGCCTTGGGCCACCCCTTGTCTCCCTGTTCTCTGAGCTCCTCCCACATCATTCTGCCAGACTTACAAAGCTCCTCTTCCAAGAAGGTCCTCCCCTGGGTAATTGGACCCTCAGGCCATTGACATTTAAAGAAATGTTCTTGACCTTTTCAGCAGTTCCATAAAATCACAAAATAGAACTCTAAATATTACTGCAGACTCCTACTTCCTCAGACCCTGGCAGAGACTCATTTTCCAGGCTAACTGAGGAATGAGAGCAAAATAGCAAAATTGTTAGCAAAAAAGGGGCTCTTCTCAAATATTTCCCTTTTGGTGATCATACCATTATGGAGGGCTATTACCTGCTTCAGGATTCAGTCCTCCATCAACATCATCACCACCAACAAACACATCCTCCCCAGGACCATCATCACACAGTTCATCATCATCACCTTAATTACATCATTACATAAAACATGCAGGATTTAAGCTCTTGAATTTTCAGAGTGTGAAAGGCCTCTTTGTGTTTTGCACATTTGATCCAGAACATCTCTCTACTTCTCTTTTTCCCCCATTGGTATGGAACCAGATAAAACAATGAGAAGGAAACAATAGAAAAGAACCAAATACTGTCTCTGGAGGGTGACATAAGAGAGGACATTCTCTCTCTTGGGAAGAAAGAATGAATATGTTAAAGGCATTTTGGGAAAATCAGGAAAATTTGAAAATAGATTAGATATTAGATCAGGACTGTCTCTAACATTTACAAAGCTTAGGTTAAGATTAGAAATTTAAATTATTTTTCTCATAAGTTTCAAAACAAAGTTGTCATTTTAAGCAAGAGTCCAATCTGCAGGTCAAATCCAGCTATTGGCTGCTTCGTGTATTGTCCTTGAGCTAAAAATGATTTTTACATTTTTCAATAACAGTTTTGTTGAGATATTTTCAAATATCATAAGGTTCACTTTTTTGGAGTATACAGTTCAGTGGTTTTCAGTATATTCACAGAATAGTACAACCATCACCACTTTTTAATTCCAGAATATTTCATCACCTCAAAAAGAATTCTGTACTCATTAGCAGTCACCCCCCATTCCCTTATCCCCCCAGTTCTTGGCAACCAGTAATCAACTTTCTGTCTCTATGAATTTATCTGTTCTGAAAATTTCATATAAATAGAACCATACAATATGTGGCCTGTCCTATCTGAATTCTTTATGTAGAATGGATGTTTTCAAGGTTCACTCATGTTGTGTCATGTATCTGTATGTAGCATATATGAATAATATTCCAATTGTATCAATATATGTGTGGTCTAAACTCAGGCATGTTCTAAAGGGGCTCTAATCAAGACATTCCTATCACTCAGCACATTCCAAGAGTTTTAGAAGCTCTGTTTGAAGAACTAGGAACAAAGACCAAATGTATTTTTTAATTATGCCATATACCACATTTTGTTTATCCATTCATCAGCTGATGGACTTTGGATTGTTTCCACTTTTTGGTTATTATAAATAATACTGCTATGAATATTCATGCAGAAATTTTTGTATGAATATATGTTTTCAGTTCTTTTAGGTATCCACCTAAAAATAGAATTGCTGGGTCATGTTTCACTTTTTGAGGAACCGCCAAATTGTTTTCCAAAGAGGTTATACCTTTTACATTTCTACCACCAGTAATGTTTGATGGTTTCTCCACATGCTTATCAACTCTTACTATTGTCTGTCTTTCTTATTTTAGCTATCCTAGTGGCTATGAAGCGATATCTCATTGTGGTTGACTCCTACATTTTTAAAGCATTATAAAAACAAACAAAAACAAAGAAAAATATGGGGTAGAGGCTGTATGCTATATTTAGCTTGTAAAACCTCAAATATTTAAAATCTGGATCTTTGCCAAAAAACTATGCAACCTTGGTCTAAAAAATTCTAAATTATCTATTGAATTAAAAGGCAAAGTACAGATCATAATTAGTGAATATTAAGAATTTAAATTCAAATTATTTAATTAAAGCTGAAAATTTTTAAATTTAGTTATATTCTAAGTATTTTTATTAAAAATATTCACATTTTTAGCATTCATTGTCTTTCTAGTTGCCAAAGTTAAGAATCAGCATCATATGTCAGGGATATTACACCTAGACCTAGCATATGCAAATTTATGAATAACATGAATTGTTTAATTTTGCCAAAAATAGTTGCCATATACAACTATTGCAAATACCATGCTAGTTCGTGAGTGCCGGAACTACAAAGAGAAATAAGAAAGTGGATGCTCAGCACTACTGGGAAACGATATTTGATCACACGAGACTCTCTCACAACTCACACTATCAAAGAAAAAGGATTTGACAAGTTAATTAATTTGTCTTTTCTCTACTTTAAGTGCTTCTGCACTAGAATCCTGCAGACTCTCAGAAGCGGACCCATCTCCAATCCTGGGAGCAGCACAGCTCAGAGGCCTCCTGAGTTTTTGAATGCAGACACCTCTACCTAGAGGCCCAGGGACAAGAAAGGTGGAGGAGCAATTCCCTGGGGCTTGAATTGTCTTAGTAACAAGAGTGATGTAAGAGCTGTGGGTCACTTTTGCCAGGCCTCAGTGCTGTATCAGAGTGGTAGATGTGCACATGCATTCCATAATTAATTTATTTTAGTGTGTTTGAAATATGTGGAACCTCTAAAGAACAGGGTCTTGCTCAGGTCTGAAAGTAATACTGTATTATTTTATTGAAAGATATTGAGGCATTATTACTTTTGCTGGTGTAATAAAGGTATTATGGTAATTTTAAAAAGTCACCTTCTAACACTGAAGTATTTATGGATGAAATGAAATGATGTCTAGGATTTGCTTTATAATACTGCAGCAAAAAAAATCATGGAGATAGATAAAAAGATTGTCATAGTATTAATATTAATAATTGTAGAGGGATTTTGGAAATATGGCAGAGTGAGAGACATTCCTGGATCTCTCCCCTTGAAACAACAATAAGCTGAACATCTAAAATCCAACAAAAAACACCCAAACTGCACACCAGCATGTCTGAGCGTTGGGTCCGTGCATAATAGCTACCACAGGTCAGAACCCTGGGTGTCGGGAGGTGGACTGGGAGAAATAAAGAAGCTGCCTCTCACGGCTACTGCAGCTACCTGTAGGAGGAGGGGGAGGGGAGAAGGAGTAGTAAGTTCCCTGAACAGCCCTTCCTGGGAAAGCTGTGAACTCCTCATTGCCGGGCAGTGGCAGGGGCCAGTCATCAGGGCAGAAGGCAGAGAAGCGGGGATGGCAGAAAAACAAAAGTTGATTTTTACTGGCCGCGGATGCAAAACCGAGGCTGAGCCGCAGCCCCCAACCCCAAACCCAGAGGGCCCCTCCCCCATACCTTCTGAGACTGAACACCGCAGAGTCCCAGGGGAATCTGAGCAAATGCTACTGAAACTGTTGCTAACACTGACAGGGTCTAAAACTGAGGGTAGCGAACAAATTAAATACCTATCAGAAAATAAAATGGTAAGGCTTCAAATAAAACAGGGATGCAAGAGGCTTAGATGCCACCTACTGGAAACCAAAAGAAAACTACCTTCTTTGCAGCAGGCTAGAGACCTTTGTATAATAATGCTTTCTGGAAAAAAAAAAAAGCAGAATACATTTCCATTAATGCTCAGCTGGAGAAATAGTCCATTAAACACCACAAACAAGGTGACGAGGCATCTCAGAAAGAAAGAGAAAAATCTCCAAAAAATAAGCTTACAGACATAGAAATATGCAATTTAAATGACAGAGAATTCAGGAGATGGTACTTCTGAAAAAACTCAGCGGGTTCCGAAACGAGTCATATCAACAATTTCAAGAATTTGAAAACCACTAGATGAGCAGAGCAAGGAGATTGAAACACTCAAAAAGAACCAAATAGAACTTCTGGAGATGAAGAACACACTGCAAGAGTTGAAAAATGAAATAGCAAGCTTGGGAAAAAGAGTCAACCAAATAGAGGAAAGTATCAGTGATAGTGAAGACAGAAATCTAAAAATAAATCAGAAGGAAGAGGAGAGAAACCAATGAATGAAAAATAATGAAAGAGAAATACAAGAACTAGCTGATACCATCAGGAGAAGAAACATGAGAAAAATGGGCATTATCGAAAGTGAGGAAAAGGAGCAGGGACTAGAAAGCATTTTCAGACAAATAGTTAATGAGAATTTCCCAAATCTAAGGAATGAGCTGGAGCTTGGAATTCAAGAAGTCAACAGAACACCCAATTATCTCAACTCAAAAAGGCCTTTGCCAAGATACACTGTATTAAAATTATCAAAAATCAATGTCAAAGACAGAATTCTCAGGGTAGCCAGGGAGAAGAAAACGGTAACTTATCAAGGAAAACCCATTAGATTATCCTTAGACTTTTCAGCACAAACTGTACTAGCCAGAAAGGAATGGAATCAAATATTTAAACTATTAAGTGAAAGGAACTACCAGCCTAGAATAATGTATCCAACTAAGCTCTCTTTTAGATATGAAAGAGAAACTAAGACTTTTCCTGATATACAAAAATTGAGGGAATTCTCCAATATGAGGTCTGTGCTGCAGGAAATACTGAAAGGGGTCAGAAAACCTAAAACAAAATGACAAAACAAAACAAAACAAAACAAAACAAAACACAGTTAGGAGAAAAGTGACTATTAGGCAAATAGAAGCAGAGGAGTACAACCCTGACTAAGAACAGGGCATAATAAGCTTAAATAATAAGAAGAGAATTGCTATAGCGAGATAGTAATGAATGTTCAGCATACATAGAGACAAACTGAGACAACAATGATTGAAAAGAGGAGGATTGAAAGATCTAAATTTGCAAAGGGGAATGGAGATAAGGTACGTGCAGAAGAAGAGGGATGACTGTATATATAAATATCCTTTACATATTTGTTATGGTAACCACACACCAAAGATTCAGAACTGAAGTATATGACATAAAAAAAGAACCAGAGGCAAAACTCACAAAAGCCAACCAAAATAAAGAAAACAAACACAAAGACAGGGAAGCAATGGAAACACCAAGCTACTAGAAGGCAAAACATAAAATGATTTTAAGAAGACTTCATATTTCAATAATCACCCTAAATGTAAATGGACTGAACTCACCAATAAAAAGGCACGGAGTTGCAGAATGGATTGAAAAACAGAACCCAACCATATGCTGTCTCTAGGAGACACATCTCAGCTCCAAAGACAAATATAGACTCAAAGTGAAAGGGTGGAAAATGATATTTCAAGCAAATGGCATTCAGAGAAAAACAGAAGTAGCGGTACTAATATCGGATGAAATAGACTTCAAAATAAAAAAGATAAAGAAAGATACCGATGGACACTTCATAATGAAAAAGGGAATCATGCACCAAGAAGACATAACATATCTATGCTCCCAATCAGGGAGCCGTGAAATATATAAAGCAATTAC